AGTTGTTGTTTTTTATAGTGGCCTAGTCAAAGTCTGAGTGAAAGTGCTGTATGGTGATCCAAGCTGAGCTACTTCTGCATTTTCTGTGGTCTCCATATATAATGAATTAGGGTTAATTCTCTTCAGTGAATGCATGGAAACACTAAACAATGCCTCACCATCATGTTTCTGCTTCCCTCTGTAAAGTCCCCTGAACATGGGATCAGTCAGGTTCACACCAATATCTACAGGAGAGGGTGAAAATCATCAAAATGTTAAAATAAAAGTGCATGATTTGTTTGACTTTCAGCATTCTGATTCATTCTACTCAGATAGATTCTCTCATATAACATAACACCATGTTTACAGCGTGGACAGGTAAAAAAATAGTGAATATTTGCAAAAACTAAAAATGCAGCAATGTACATCAACACAAAAATGCAGGCATTGGATTTTCTGATGCATTTAGGTAGGAAACACTGCTTAGTTTACTCTTTAAAGCCGCAGTGGCTTTAAGAAGAACGCCAGACAATTTGGTAATCATTAAAATCTCGATAGATTGACTTTTATTTTTAACTTTAGTAATGGTGTTCATGACAAACATCACAGGAGCTTCAGCTTTAAGGGGAAAGGGGCTGACATGTGTTAAAAGAAAACTAAACCAGGTGAAAGGAAATGACGCAACGGCTATGATTCGCTTTGTATCTACGATTTATTTACAAACATTAAAATGCCTCACCAATGAATTTGTGCTGTGCCATGGTTCTTATAATTCTACAGAGAGCTCCACGCGCAGAATTCGCCATTCCCACATCCTTTTACCGTAATAAACGCGCTTACACGTGCACACCAACTCTGAAACACAATGTCAACAGCTCCTGATATCTTCCCGCAATGTTATAGCCTACATCGAAGTGTGAAATAATCATGCACAACAATGCAACATTCCAACGGCTCTTTTATGGGAAAACTAAGTATATAAGAACAAAATAATGCGTACTATTTTTTACATTTACGGTACTGACGTTGGACGCTTTCAAACTCCCAGAATCCTTTGCGCAGGCTCGGTGGGAAGGTGACAGCGGACGGCGAAAATGGCCTCTGCCTTTCTTACTCACCAGCAGAAAGTGCTGAGGCTTTACAAGAAGTCTCTCAGGCACCTTGAATCGTGGTGCATATTTCGGTAAGAGTGCTGCTTATATTTGGAGGCTTTACAGAATAATGTTAATAAACTGCTTTCCTGAGATGAATTTCTCTTCCTGCAATGCTAAGTTAGCATAAGTAAGCTAATCACTGATAGCTTCCCAGGTCATTCATTCCTGAAACCATTTAAACTCTGTGTTGTCGGCCTTATTATATGTTAAAAATGAATATACCCCAGTCTTTGCAGTCTTATAATGAATTTATAATGAATGTATGTCATACCCTGCTTTGATGGGTTTGTTAGGAGTTTGTTTGTTGCTCACTAGCGCCCACTAGCTTCCAGTAATATTTATGCAGAAGCATACTCCAGCTTCTATTAAACTTTGTCCTACCCAGAACATACACATTATTTTTTGTTCTTTCGATAAAGTGATTCTCATATTTTAATATTATTTCTCTTTCTGCTCATATCAGTTTGTGAAAGGTACACATGTCCACACTAAAATATAGAATGCGAAATGTTTTAATTAAATAATTGTATGAAACATGCTTTTTTTAATGAGATATTTAAAAATGTTCGGGATTATTTATGTAATAAACAATATCTAGTATTTATTACTTCATTTACAGACAATTTAAGCCACTTTTTTTTCTAAAGAACACGATTTCTAAAGTTATAAAGTTTAAGATAATCTGAAAAGCAATATTTGGTAGACTATTCTATTATTTATTACTGCAGGCATGGAAGCAGAAGTTTCAAGCTTTGCATGAAGCAAGTGTTTCATTTGAAACCACAAACAAGTTACTAATAATATGATTATGTGTAGAAGCATAAAAAAAACTTGAATTTCTTTGGAGACCTGTTTCTGATGTTGCATAAAAAAACAGACAAGAATAAATAAAAGAACCAACATATGTAACTCTCTATGAATAACATCAAGGAATATGATATTTCCTGTTATATATACATTACTGTAAAAATGTCCGTAGCTGTACATTGGTTTTTAATTCTCAAGGTGCACAGTTTTTATATTGTTAAACACTTTACAGTTGAGTATTTTATTCTTTATCTTCTTACTCTTCACTATTATGTTATTCTTATACATTTTTGTGTGACCACTTTTTTCTATAATCTTTTTGCTGCTGTAAACACCAGCATTTCCCCATTAAATCCATGACTTTGGTCAAATTCAGCCTTACTTAAAAAAAAAGATAATCAATGCATTCAGAGACACTTCAAACGGTACCTCTTAATGTCTTAAAAAATAATGTCCATCGATTTAAGTTAAACCTTTAAAAAATTGTGACCCGTTAAACAGAAAATACTCAATAAAAACAAAAATCTAGACGTTGTCATGAAATGTTGTCTGTTATATAACTGAACCTGTTTTATTTATTAGAATAAAGGTCAGATAATGATCTTCTGTTACAAATGTGCTCACATATCAAATCAGTTTAATTATAGAGGAAATGTCCTTGAAAACCATTATCTAACTAATTATGGTGTTATATAAAGAAATCTACTCAGTTGCACAAAACATTTTTTTGTATTGCATTTTTAAAAGTAAATACTATATTTTTTTAAGGCTTATAATGGCGAATATTTGCAGTAATTGGTTGCTCATTTGCAGTTTGTGGTTTTATGTCTTTTCAAAAGCATAAACCTTTCAGTTGCAATTTTCTCAATTCCAGATATTTAAGAATAGAAAGCACAGAAGTGTCTCATTGTTGATTGCTTTACTTAGATTAAGTCATGGTACTCCAGTTGTATTTCGAAGTTTCTACAAGCTAGGTGACCTGGAAGTTAACTTTTCTTATCAATAATCATGTAAAAGTCACACTCCTTATTGTTTGTATAAAACAAAACATTTAAGTATTCTGTTGTATTTTCCTGTCACAGAGATAAGTATCGTTTCTATGCCTGTATGCTTCGCGCTCGGTTTGATGAGAACAAGAATGAAAAGGACATGGTGAAGGCCACCAAGATGCTGAAGGCAGGTGAGGAGGAGTTCTGGGCCAACCAACATCCCCAGCCCTACATCTTCCCTGACTCTCCAGGAGGAACCTCCTATGAAAGATATGAGTGTTACAAGGTGAGAGGAGACTTAATAATGATGGCGTTTGCTTGATCTCTTGTTTTGTTGTTGTTTTCTGTTTACTTGAAATGAAGGCACTTGGCTTGCTATTTTAAGAGTCAGTTCCAACTCAATATATTTCTACCCTCAAGTTATACAGAATAGTCCTTTACAGGTTAAATCAGTGTTTCTGTCTCTATAAGACCATATTGATGCAGCTGAATTTTTTGTAGAATTAGGTTTACATTTTGTATTATTATAGCAGGGAAAAAAAATCACCTAACTGTATAGAAAATCCACATTTCATTCTGTAGGTGACTGATCTGTGATGCTTTCTGTGATTATAGGTCCCAGAATGGGTGCTGGACCATTGGCACCCTTCAGAGAAGGCCATGTACCCTGATTACTTCTCCAAGAGGGAGCAGTGGAAGAAACTGAGAATGCAGAGCTGGGATAGAGAGGTATGCAGGGGTGCAGTTCTTTCTCAGTTTTTATTGACCACTGTTAGGAAATGTTTCTCAATGGTACAGAAGTCTTAATTTTATCCCAATCTTTGCTTGATATTTACTTAAGTAAAAAAAAATATATATTTTACTAAAAAAATAGGAAGCTTTACATTCTCCGTTCATTGTTATTGTTCTGTTAATATCAGTAAAATTGTTTTTATATTGATCAAAAAAATTTTTTTTAGCTCAATTCTTTCCTGTTTACAATGCTTATGCGACATCACTAGTATATCCACCAGATGGCGTCAAAGTTTAATGTTTAAACAGGGGAACCACATGGTCCTTGTCTAGACTGGTTCCAGATAAACAAGCATCACCTTTAGACTGTTGATGCAAAGGCCCTTAGTAAACTTATCACTTTGCACACATTGTATCTGTGGATCAAATCATGTGACAAAATATGCACAATTATTCGGCATCAGGGGAGCAGCTGTAACAGTAGGAGTCATTCTGTAATTTTTATATAGATCATAATTTAATCTTTTACAAAAAAGGGTTAAATAGCCTATAACTTTTCTCAGAAATACAATCATTGTAGTTTATTTCAAGAAAATATTCAGCTTCATCTAAAGAACTACCTGTACTATACAAATGGGGATTAAATTGTTTATGTAAATGATCTCACATGGCACCAAAAATAAGAGGAAAATTAAAACCAATGTTCAATAACGGTACCACTCAATGTTTACCTTCGTCTTCCTCCAGGTTGCTCAGCTGGAAGCCGAGACTCCAGCAGGTGGACCCAGGAGCGAGGCTCTGCCTCCTGCCCGCAAGGAGGGCGATCTACCCCCTCTGTGGTGGCAGTTTGTCACCCGTCCAAGGGAGCGCCCCACATAAACACCTTACCTGACCTGAGATGAGTCAGTCTGGCTATCTGAGGGGAAAAAACGGCCCAAACACACAATGACAGCACCAAGACTGACTGACCCTTTGGTTCCATCTGTCTTTAGAGTCAAGCCTGGAGGAGTTCCCCTTTACAGGCTGCATGACAATGTTCACAACCTGTCTGAATTCACAGTTGATGACTCTGACAAGTTCTGTAGATGTTCCGATTAATACCTGTAATTAATAAAGAAATGTATGCTCAGTGTTGTGTGTTTGTTTGATAACGGTTGGCTTTAATGAAGGTATGTTGGGGATTTAGTAAAACAAGACATGTTGAGCAATTGGAATAACAAAACATTTTAATGAAACTGTTTTAACCTCAGTTTCAGTATTTTAGCTTAGCTTTCATGAAGTTTCATGTTTTTAGTATTGTATACAGAAATCCCAGTTACACTTAATTTTTTTTTACCCTGCTTCAATTAAAAACAACAAACTAATTATACATATCACTGTATCTGATTTGTTCATTTAGCTCAAGCTTGTAAGAAAGGGTTTGTATTTAAATCTGAACATTCTGCTGCCTTTAAAGAAGAAATAATCTTGTAGGAAAAAGCAAAGCTTGGCAGGGGATTTTTTTGTTTTATAAGTGAAAATATATATTGTGCCAACAACACTGTTGGCAGTTCTCTTAAAAAGCTTCAGTGAAAATGTCCCGTCACTATGGCGACAGACGTCTGAAATTTCGTGGACGGATCATCATGGTGACTGCCTTCAGAGAGTAGAAGTCTGAGTCCTTCCAGGAAAACCAGACGATGCCATCTGGTCCCAGCAGGTTGTGAGCTTTTAAAGAGTACCGGCCACCCTAATGGAAACAAAACATTTCCGTCACAGACATATTTATCTACCATTAACAGTGCCACTTAAAAAAGGTCTTAAAAAAATTTAGAGGAACAGAAAAAAATAAAATAAAATTATAAAATTAATAATTAGTTTATCCTGTAAAATTTCCATGAATTCATCTGTTCTAAATATGTAAAATAAAGCTAATATATAATTGCCTAATGTGTTCACTGTTGAAACTATGCTTCATAAAAAAAAAACCCTAAAAACTAATGTACATATAATAGTTTTTCTGGCAGAGATATTTGCCATCTCCAAGATTCTAAAAATAATCATAATGCCAGTCAATCTCTTGATTTTTTTCATTAAATACATTTGTTAAATTATCCATGGATGGTTTCTAAAGTTAGACTTTTTTCTCAAGGAGCCATTCTTGTTGATTTCAAAGAACAGTTGAACCCTTATCCTGATGAAAAACTAAATTCCATATTTTTCTTTACCTTTCTAATAAATACCGGACTGTTTATACAGTTAAAAGTTCTAAACAACATTAACCATAAAAGTGAGTGATATTTAAAACCTATCTCTCCATTTAACTGTATAAAAATTCAGAGTTGTAACTCCACAGTATAAGGCCACCACCATATATCCCAGGTGGTATTAAATGTTTTTTTTTTTCTTTTACAAATGTTTCTTTTTTGTAACAAATTTAGCTGATTTTTTTCTTTCCTCTCAAACTTTCTATTCAATTTTGGAGAAAAGCGTTATTTTTGTGACCCCATCATTTCCTTAAAAAAAACAAAAAAAAGCTGCATAATATCTAAGCTTGTCCAGTACTTTGAATTTTTATGTATTATTCTTCTTACTGATATCTTTAACCGGTATGGTGCTTTTTTTCCTGTGTGTAACTACTTTCCAGACTTCAGCTAAAGGATGGAAATGAGCAAAATTCAGAATAATCGAGCTGGACTTTAACAAAGCAATGTAAATGTTGACAGGGATGAAGTTAAGGACAACATAAATCATAACCAAACTATTTTTTTATGCATTATTATGTATACATGCTTCTATTGACCCTATTGCAGGTTTTCATATTTTACATTTTGTATGAATATTCTTTTTTTTCCTTAAATGTTTAAATCTAATATTACCACAGACCATGCTGAGATATACCTGCTGTAAATGTTGCTGTGTCAGACATACCTTGTAGTAAACTCCATTAAGGTTGGCGTAGAAACACTGGTGGAACCACCAGCCTGCATGGCTGATCTCAGCACAGATGTTGCCTGTGTCAGGTGTGCTGAACCCATGTTGGTCATGATACCAACCAAAGGAATCCTCCACTGTCCCACTGAAACCTGAAACATGGAGGCGATACTGGTTCTCTTCATCATCTATCCTGTAGAAAAAGGAAACCAAAATATTGACTATTACTTGCTGTTTAACTGCTGATGGATGATATGAAAAAGTAGTATATACCTGAAAGACTGATAGAGGGCGTGCCTGTGGGCGTGGCTCCAGTCCTGCATGTCAATGCGGAGGCTGTAGTGACCCTGGTTGGACAACAGGTGAACCTGATGGTTTCCTAGCCAGTGTTCTCCTCGTGGTTCACCGAAGCCATCTCTGTATTCAGCCCAGCCTCGGTTAAAGTTCACTAAGCCGTCACGCCTGCGCTGAAATACAGTCCAGCCACCACCTGATGCACACATGTCGACACATGACCATGATTATCAGTCAGATTAGTGTGAGTCTAGCTACACATGCCCAGTTAAGAGATGCAGGGCAAATGTTTGTGGCAAACAGAGCTTCAAAATGAAAAAATGTTGAGGTATTTTCAACATTTTCACTTCAAAGAAGAAAAATAAATCATATGGCAATTTTATAAAACTCAAATCACACAATTATGTTTAAAGAAAACATTAAAAACATGTTTCTCACCATCTGTCTCCATGTCGCAGTACACAGGAAAAGTGGTGCCTGGTGACATGACAATGGTGTAAACTCCTGAACGGCGAACGCCATTGTGATACAGAGAAGTACAGTCTGATGGACAGTAGGACAGGTGCTGTCCACCTGAGAGAGACACGGACAAAACCAGCATCACACAATGCTTTTCAACATATTCAGACCTCTTAAACCTTTACAAATTCAGTCTTTTTTTGTTTGTTATTTTGTGACCCACTTAAAGTAGAAACTGTAAGAATATTGGTACATCATTCAATCTTTTTCCCTAAATTTTTAAAGGTACATATTTTAGAATATTACTGTCATTTAGCATTTTCTTCTATTTCTAATCTTCTCTTAAGTGTGTATGAATTTTACAAGTCCTCCAGACTAGATGTAAGAGTCTTGCACAATCAGACAGCTGTTATACAAACCATGTTTTTCACTAAATTACTAAATTTGTTGCAATGTTCAATTTGTTTAGGCTACATCATTATATATTATGCAACTCTGCCATTTTTATTCCCTAATGACAGATCTATTGGTCACTATACTTGCAGCTGGCATGTCAGTATTCAGGGGATGCTCGTTCAATTTCTTGTCATTTTGTCAAACAAAAGTGCAGGCAGTGAGCTCTATGTGAGATCAAGCTACTATTGAAATAGCATCTGGAAAAGAAAATGGATGGAAAGTTCAGAAAGGAGGTTCAGCAATATTTGCTGCTTGAAACTCTTCTATAGTAAGACATGCATTCAGTTCAGTTATCACACAGAATGTGAAATGTATGGCTTTGTCGGGTTTCATCAGAGAGATTCCAAAACAGTTAAAAAAAGAAATCCAATGGACGTTGTTTCCAAGTTTGAAGACTTTTCTCTTCCCATCCAGGAAGCTTTTTCAATTCAAAATGTCAGAAATAGCTTTGAGTTCAAGGCTTTATAGAGTGGACCAAACACAAAGCCTTGTTTTGGCTAAGAAAACATGCAAATTGAACCAGACAAAAGGGCCCGCCCCATAGACTTCCCATTCCTACAGTTCAATTTGCATGTTTTCTATGCCAAAAAAAGGCTTTGTTTTTGACTGAATGATATGTAGTTGAGTTGTAGGATTTTTTTATTTTGCTGCAGTAAACATTATGGTTAACTCTACGAGAACCTGGAAAGACTCTAACATATAAACTAACAACAGTTTCTTTCAGGACCTTCTTATATAACCTTTTGTAGTAGGTTATTGGTGTTTGTAAGAATAGTTTGTAGAATACATTTTTAATTTAATAAGACTCTATACTTACATTTAGGTCTGACCACAGATACCTAGGATCTGTTCTATGTGAGCTTGCAATAAGTGATTTTAAAGAACTTAAAATGTGCAATTTTAGTTGTTGAGATTAAACTGGCTTCAGATTTCTGATTTTTCTTTTTTTATAAAGAAAGTGCTCTGCACAGAGATTAAAATGGATTGTTGTTGAGCCAAATATGGGTTAAAAATTACTGGTTGCATAGAAGCAAACAATAATACATGTTTTATGTTCTTTTTTTATATTTGTAAAACAGTTATGTTGCATGGACATCATGCAGCTGCAAACTCACCACAGTGCATGTGTACCTGGTGCCAGAGTGTTTCTCATGCTGAGGGGCGGAGTAGTCTCAATCACATTGATAGTGCAGCCACTGTTGTGACTCATGTGCTGCATGGTGGCTGACAGGTTTCGAAGCTGTGTCTGGAGCTCGTAAAGCAGCGCTGCATGAACTTGGAGCAGAGTGTCGGCCTCTGCATGGCGCAGCTCCAAGAAATTCAAGCGATGGCCCAACGTTGAGTTGAGTCTGATGCTGTCTTCACCCTGTGGGACACGAAGGAATAAGAAAACACCATAGCTGTAGGGTCATTTGAGGTTGCGACACTCATGCAGTTTTTTATAACAGCTTTGCCCCAAACAATACTCACACCCCAGGAAGATTTAGATCTGAAAATAATTTAATTCAACCAAGAAATATCCTTTCGATACAGATAATAAAAGAATAAAAAAAAATGAGACAAAGAATATTTTCAAATAAATATCTATTTTATATTACTTAAATGACAGAATCATGGCCTCCACATCATATTTGGCCAAAAAATCAATTAAACTAGGGCTGCATGATGCAGGGAAAGAAATGATTGTGATAAAGTTTGTTTTATAACTGATGAAAGTGATTGGGATTAACCCGCATTTTCGAACAGTTTTTTTATTTTTTATTTTCCATCATCACAGTTTTCCCTTCTCCTGTTTACAAGCAATAGCGTTAAACAAAGGAAGGAAACAGTCCATCCATCTTTCCTAAACAGTTGCAATGACATTGTATCATCCACCTCTTAATCAAGTAGTTCCTGGAACTGCTGACAAGCTTTATACATTTTTATTTAGATATTTTCATCAATGATGTTTGGTGATTAATGTATGAGGTTGGATTCTAATCATTTTTGAGTCAAGACTCGATGGTTGGATAATATTTTGGCTTTAACATGTTGTGTTGCTTTTTATAAGGTCATCTTGGTGCCTCAGATTCTCAATTTATCAGAGAAATATACTTTAAAACAGAGGGTTCCTTTTAGATAATTGTTTTAGGTTTAGGTTTGCAGAGAAGGGGTCTGACATTTCTTCCATTCAAAGCCTGTATGAGTATAGGGCCCAAAAATAGCATCTAACATTTCTGCATCCTGAGTCTGTTCAGTCTTTTACCTTAAGGAAAGCGCTAGACTTTGCACAAAAACCAACCACCACAAAACAGTTAATTTCCTCAGCCTGTTAATCTGTTAAAATCAATAAACACCTCACAGCCAGGGTAGTCAGACAATTATACTTGGATTTACTCTCATCCCAAACAAGAATGTACTCCTGTGTATATGGATAATATTCTGTTTTTTTAACATCCTTTAAGCATGCTTTGTAAATAGTTTGGTTATGATATGAGCAATAGAAAAACAAACCCATATTTAAAATTTAAAATTCAATCTGATTCTTTTACTTTTTTCTTTAAAAGTCTTGTTGAACACTTCTGATGTGAAATTCTCCCTTAGGGATGTTTGAGCCTCCTGCTGTATGTGTTGATAATTCTACAAACTTTGGTCTTGGATATTAAGTGATCGTCAAAATAAATACTAGCATACAAAGAAAAACCCTATATTATTAAGGGTCCATTGTATAAGATGTGAAATTAGGATGTGCATTGAACTGTATACCTCTTTGAACTAAGGCCCATTGTAATATACAGCATTAACAAAGGGAAAGTGGGAAGGCTTTAAATGATTTACAAGTTAAATTAACAAAAGTAATATTTTCAAAATAAAAGCATTTTGAATATCGCACATAATCCTGCAGATGACCCTACAATGAGCTTTTTCATATATCTATCATCTAGATATGGAATAATAAAATGAAAAACAGGTTGTTGGATAAGAAAACTTTCTTGCACACTCCAGGCTTACTAACTCAATTAAGACAATTGGAAGCGTGTGGGGAACGAAGCCGGAAAGGATTGTCAAAGTGTCAGCGAGAGTCTGAAGGATATAAGTGCCCTGACTAAAAGGTCTCTAGCTAATCCTGTTAGTATTCAGGGTTAAGGAGGACTTAAAGGGTGTGAAGACGGGGAGATAAAGTTAGACAGGGAGAGAGACAAAAGGTCTAGATAAACAAAGATAGCATAATATCCTTTCTTCTACATGTTTTGTTCTCATATAATGAAAGAAGCAACGCAGATTAATTCACATATTTGAAACTCTTCTTCCTAATCTATATACATCTACTATCTGACTGATACGGATCCAGTTACTGAGTAAAACAATGGTGAATTTCTTGCTCTTTCAGAGATACATGGCACCATTTAAATAGCATCTCAAAATGTGTACCGGGTAAGTTACACATTCCTCTACAATGGCCATACATTTCAATTTAAGGATAAGAAGTAAAGAGAAGATATTGTATCCCTTACTTCTGAAGCATCTAAACACACAGATTTCCCCCTGTTATATCCTCACTTCTTTCCTTACCACTTACATGAGGGAAAAGCAACATGCAAAAGTGCATGAATGAGTGCGAATACCGTATGTCGTCAACCCAGATCTTTTGGAATATTTATCAAACTTGTGACCAAAAATCTAAAAAACAAAAAAGGTTGGGGGAAATGTTTTCAAGATTTCGGCTGGAAATATCTTTTTTAGATAAACGTATCCTGTATCACACCGGAATTCATATAGAAAGAACAGTTATTGTAAAATCTGAAGACCATGTTTGGTTGAGTCGGCTGCAAAAACATGGTAAAGTTCAGACTTTTACCAATATGTTTAAACAGTTTTTTTCCCCCAGGGTAATATATATATATATATATATAATGTTTTAAAATAGATAACAACAACAAAATAAAGAATCTGGTTATGCCTTGGGTTTTATAGTGGTGAAGCTGTTTGCATTTCTTTTTTTAAACAGCAAGAAGATACTGGGCTCATATACCTTCTGCAGTCCTGCTTCCCAGACTTTACATTTTCTTCTTTGCTTGCAGTTTATTTATTTTTATTTTTTTTTAGGTATAATGACTTCCTTTCATTATCCCAAAAATGTGGCTGTTAAGTCAAAATACCACAAGTTAAGGCTGTACTTATTATTATTATTTTTTTTCTGTGTAGAGCATCCTGTTTAGACTTTACCCTGCATCTCCCCCCATGACTGCTGCAAATAGACAACAGCTCCTCCACACCTGTGCTATAATAGATTCAACTAATCTTTTTGGTTGTGGCTTGGAAATTTTCTAGATACTATTCTACAAGTGCAGTGAAATGAGAAATGAGGCAACCTGAATAAATTTTTGTTGAGCGGAGTGGTGTTTTATAGGGTTAGAGCATGACTGGACTGCATTTTTTTCAGGCGCATGACTTTTGATGATTTCCATCATTCTTATTGGTTGAATCTATTAAATCTATTCATATGGATAACTGTTTTCTTCTTGATATTTTGGTAAGGGTTAGTTTTTTTATTTTTATTTAAAACAAAATATCTTTCTCTAGACTGTGATATATAGGCGACCTGTCCAGGGTTTATCCCCATTGGGTATCTCACCTACTGACAGCTGCAGAGAAGCACCAGCACCCCTCGCAGCCCCAGCAGGGTTAAACGTGACAGAAAATGAATGAATGAATGAATGCATGGATGGAACTTTCTCTAGAAGACATGTAGTTTATCAGTAGGGGAAGCTGATTATTTAGGGCTGTCTTAGATGTTTACATTTTCTACCACGCTCTTCTTTCTTTCGGACGATTACAATATTTTTCCAGCTTTAAATAGAAAATGTAGACTTATTCATTGGTTGTTCCTGGATTTTTTCTAAACTTTCTAAATAAATTCTTTTTCGTCTAAAGGGTTTCATCTTAGGTCGTTTAAATTTGCATAGATTGTAGAAATAAATATAGATTTTAAAAATGATTCTTTAAACACAAATTGTTCCAACAAGCCATTAAAATACCTAAATTATTATGACATTCATCGCCATGAGGGGTTATAAAACTTTCTGGACACAGATTTAATGTATCTAATGGTGAGACTGGTTGAGTCACAACATTGTGTCTTTATCAAGACTAATGGTAGGTAAATGTTGATACAGGAAGCCCTCTGCAGTCATGCTTATACCATCACCTAATGGGGCGTGGTTCCATCCAGTCAATGTGTAATATGTGTCATTTCTAAAAGGTCGGTTTCATGACTTAAACCTTTTTAGTTCCTCATTTATAATCTCTTTGTTCATGGAATCAATGGGTATAAATACATCAAACTCTCAGGTTTTAGTAAATTTACCTGGATTTCCAGGGCCTTGACTCGATGTCGGTGGTTCCTAACCTCCTCTTGCAGCTCAGACATTGTCTCCCTCAGCTCCTCAAGCTGCTCCTTTCTGTTCTGGTTCTCTTGAAGCCAGAATGAAATCTCATCTGTGCAGCGAAACATGTCCGGACAACGTTTTTCTGTCGATCCTACCTGAGGCAGAGTTGCCATCAGCCGACATTGTCCATTTGGTGTCAGCTGGCTGCTGTACTCACCACATTGTGTCTGGTTCAAAGTTTGGTTGGTGGTCCCATTGATGACATCAAAACCCTCAATCTTTATGACGTTTGGGGCATCAGGATTCAGGTCAGAATATGTTTCCAGGATGGAGGAAGATGGATGCCAGTCGGCATCCTCATAGGTTCCGTGGTTTATATCGGGTACATTCCAGTTTGTCTCCATCTGCATGTCTGGAACATCCCTAGGAGTCCGGTTTTTCTTTTTTGGAACCTTTTCCTTAGATTCTGGGATAGTTTTATGTTGCTCATCCTGCTGCCCAACTTCAGAGTATTCATTCAAGTCCAAAAAGTCATTACTAGCATAATGGAAACACCAGCCAGTGAGTAAAAAAGTCCTTAACACTTGTTCTAACCTCATGTTGAAATTCTAGTAAATTGCGGTCTCTGGCTGCTGTTGACTGTAATCCAAAGTAAATCCAATTCACTAGTGTAATTAGTTCCGGGATCAACATCAGGAAACAACATTATAGCCGCAGAATGACGTCCAGACCAAATTCAGGTACTATTTCTGATTTGGGTTGATAGAGATCTGATGATGTTTACAAAAGTCTATTTTTCTACACTGAGAAGGGGTTAACTCCTTTAAAACCTGGGCTGTATAGAAGCCTGTAAAATAAAAACAACATAACTCCCTCAATTTGTCAACATGACTCTGCAAAAAAATTTGTTTAATCAAATATTGTTAATAAAGCAATTTATGGTCAAAATAGCTTAAAAGATTTATGTCCAGTTAACACTTTGATCAAGAAATAAACTTCTCAAAGACATCATTGATGTAGTTTTCTGTCAGATATACAACTCTGAACGTCAATTTTCAAAGCATAACATTTAAAAAATTTGATTTAACAGGGGTAGTCCTACCTGTAGCCATGCCTCTGTCCTGAATTCAACTCAGTGTAACAACATACAGCCCCGCTGTAAAACCTTTGTGTGTGTGAGAGAGATAGTTAGTGTGTGAGTGGGTCCTGCACTGGGTATGACATCTTATCTCGATAATCCCATAAGTAGATTGGAAGCCATTTCCCTTAAAGGTAATAAATTAAAAGGAGGATCAGAGTAGGTTGTCTACAAATTACGTTCAAAACATTACAACAGATTATTACAACAGATTATTGTATATCTAGCATGCATTTTAATAAAAAAAAAAGTGTTGATGTGTTTTTCTTAAGTGTTGTTGACTTTATCTGCTTCCAGGCCTGTATAATTGTATAGTTTATGCTCTGTAAAGCATTTTGAATTAGGGTGTGTACAAGTCTACTTCCAGAAAACTGCAAAAGTGCGGAAAGCCTGAGTTCCTTTAAATCAAGACTAAAAACACATTTGTTTAGGATTGCCTTTGACTGTTCCATTTAAACAGTTCTACTGAAACGTCATTAGTTCAACTTTTCTATTTATTAGTTTTTAATGTTCTTTTTTGTTTCTGCATATTTTACTTTATTTTTTTCCTACTTGCTTTGATTCTGTTTTATTTTCTATATTTTAATCATGTAAAGCACTTTGCATTGTCTTTGTACTGAATTGTGCTATACAAATAAATTTGCCTTGCCCTGCCTTGTCTTACATAGTCTTTGACTAATAGGTCTCAGTTAAGCAGAAGTCGGGCCGATTGGAAAATTTTCGCAGGCCTGGAAAGTTGCCCCAAAAAGAGCAACAAATCGCACAGTGTGTAAGCCTGGCTTTAGGAGGCAGTACAGTACTGCAAGATCCACCAGCTGCAGTAAGCTGCTGGGTTCAGGGACATCATGTTAAATCATTAAAGAAATGACACTAGCAGTACTGAGAAAATAATTATGATAAATTTATCATCAGTTCTAGTACGTTCCATTGCTTTGAACATTCATTAAGCAATGATCAGTGTCTTTTTTTGTTATACAGTAGAATTACTCGGGTTTGTTTCTCTTTTTTTTCCTGTTTTGCACTGTTTTCTTTGTTTATTTCAGAAACACTTAGATTCAACCTGTATGGATTTCCTTGCATGGCCTTGTGTTAGACACATTATCCATATACACACCTGGACAAAGTTGTTGGTAGCCCTTTTTTAATGACAGCAAAAGTTATGGTCACAGAAGTGAGTTTTTTTCACAGACACACAAGAAACAGATCAAAGCTCACAGGGCTTGAAATTACCATTTGAGTTAACATGCAGGCATCAGAATGCTGGCAGCAGGATCCTCTTATACCCCTAGGTTGATTTAACTACTTGCCTGCAGCTGTGAGCAATCAGATGTAGGTGAGGTCATCACAGGATCTCACTGATGTCATCTGGTGGAAGACTGAAAACGCAAAAACTGTAACAAAAAAAACTGAATGTATTCTCAAACCGGGCTGCTCAGTGGCGCAGTGGGTCGCACTGCTGTATTGCAGCAATAAGGTTCTGGGTTTGATTCCCGGCCTGGGGTCCTTCTCCATGGAGTTGGCATGTTCTCCCTGAGCATGCGTGGGTTCTCTCTGGGTACTCAGGCTTCCTCCCACAGTCCAAGACCATGACTGTTAAGTTTATTGGCTTCTCTAAATGATTTGAGTGTGTGAGTGAATGGTTGTTTGTCTCTGTGATGGACTGGTGACCTGTCCAGGGTGTACCCCGCCTCTCTCCCATTGGCAGCTGGAAATAGGCGCCAGCACCCCTCGTGACCCCACTTGGGAATAAGCATGTAAAGAAAATGGATGAATGTTTACCCCAACAGCATCAGGCTTTTGTACTTTTAGGTGAACCAGGACATCCTGCTTTATCAATTTAATTGTCCCCCTATTGTTGCAATTGACCATAGAATAATTAGGGGTGAGTATTGGCATGGGGGTTTTGATATATGTGTCACTATCCTTGGCAAACAATATTATATTATGACAATATTGCAATACCACTATATATTGCAATATTTTTCCAGCTATCAAAATTAAATGTATAAATAAAAAGCAAGTGCTGTGAATGTTCTTGAGAAGATCTTGATCATTCGGTTATTTTTGTATCCATGTTGTTTGTTGTGAGTCACTCCACGTCTTCCACTGTGACTGCCTCAACTATAGATATGGCACTGCAGTGCACAGCAAAAGGGCTCCACGGCAGAGGAAGCCCTGTATCCTTCATTGTTTTAGGTAAATATGTTTACTTTTCTAAAATTGATATTAGGAACTGATGGATCGACATTATACAGGGCAGCCGAAAAGCATGATATATCACCAAAACAATCTTTTTCCACACCTGTAAGAATAATACACGGTACAAACATATTGATATGTTTTATTATGAATTTCTGAACAGGTCCACTCTAATCTTTCAGGCTTGAAATCTGAAAAGAAAAAATTGTAATTTCATGAGTCACTAAATGGCTTTAAAGAGCAATTACTTTGAGCCAAAACATAGATATATGTAATAATCCTGCACAGCAAGTCCTGATTTTCTCTCAGTTACGTTACTACCCTGTGGGATACAATTTTTCTTTTTTGAGTTTTTACAGCACTAGTGGCTCATTTTTCTGACAGTAGGCTGACAGGAAAGGAGGTGAGACATGCAGCAAAGGACCACAGGCCATATTCAAACCCGGGTCGGCCGTGTCGAGAACTAAGGCCTCCGTACATGGGGCGTGCACTGCACCACCTGCACACCCATCAATGAGGTATTTTTGAATTCAGTTAAACATGATTGCATTTATTAGCAAATAAAATTAGCAGACTTTTGATGTAAACTGTTGTGTTTTTTTCTCTGAGCATGGAGTCTTTAATGTACTGGACCAAATGGATGGTTTAAGGCTGTAGCTGTACTAATGGGTTTATATTTAGCTGGCTGCCTCCTGAAGATGCTCATAGTGTTCCATTAGAGAAAAAGGGACACACACCTGAAACTTCTATATCGCCTCTGACATCAACAAAAGCTTTTATCTTTGTTGCTCCAAAATGTCTTGACATTTAGGAAAAAGGATTATCAGACTTTTCAGGTACTTAAACAGTTGAGCTATTGGATGTGAGTTCTGATTAATTGTCCATTAGCAGGTGTGAAGCCTTTTTTCTGTCAAAGCTTTATATTTTTTTTAGCTTTTAAACTCTGTTTAGAGGAAGCTATGATTGAGAATAACGAGTTACATTGAGATGAACATGCATGTTTTTAGTTTTTTTTTTTAACAGCTTGAGAGGATCATTAGATCCTTCCAGTCCAGATCAAACTGATATTAATGTTGACCAACACCGCCTGCCCCTAACAATTTTATTTTCATTTTAATAATATTGACTAGAATGACTCTTAATTTGCCAGTTTTTTTTATTTTTATTTTCAGTACTAATTTCCAAATAAGCAACAAATTATGCTCTTAGAAATAATAAATAAATATGTCTAAAGGACAAATAAAAAGAAATTCAGGTAGTATGTATTTAAAAATATATAAAGACTCATCAGAACAGTGGTTTTAATTAACAGATTTCAATTCTTCCTCAAAATCTTTTTTATAGTTGAATTTCAGTGTATTTCTACGTTACATTTTTTCATGGTTTTTTGGAGATCATAAGTGTACTGAAGTGGGTGGGAGATGTGGAGGACCTTAAATGAATTGTCCACTTTTGCAGAGTTTTTACGGACATCAGTGACAAAATGACTGGGAGTCGTACAGACGTCAGTGAGTTTGTGCGTATGTTTGCGTGTCCTTGGCTGAAAGGGTATAAAGCCAGGTGATCAGTCAGAAGGAAATAAGAGAAAATACAGAAATCTTTGGTGGAGAGAGCAACAGGAAGTCAAAGAGCTGAACGAGCTACGAGAAAAGGTAATATTTATTATTATTATATATTTTGTATCATAATTTGTAATAATAAAGTATAATAGCCAATAATGATTATGTCTTAATGGGCTTTTTAAGATTTCCACATTACTTTTCAGGAAAAGTTAAAGGCTTACCTAACCCTAGAACATGGTCATAATAAGAGACTTTTATTTTGTCAATCTGTAACAGAAATCAGAGGAATGCGTCTCTTGTTGCCATTGGTGGTGATGGTAATGGTGAGCGTGGCCAGGGCGGCACTTGGTCGATGCTGGGAAAGGCCCAGCTGTCAGGAACTCAACTCTGAGAACAACACAATGGTAAATATGACCTTACAGATTTGGTTCAGTGAAACCCAATGGCTGTTGGCACCTTTGGGCCAATCAATCAAATTTATCCCCATTGTTACTATGACGTAAAGCATTCATGTCATTACCAATATAATTGATAAGAGGAAAATTATTATTTAGTCAAGCGATTAATTATGACTGACTTAAAAAAATTGCAAGAGTGCTGATATAAAGTGTATTATTCTATGGCTGCACAACAAAAAATGCCTTCTAAAAAATAAGAAAAAAATATAGTGTTTTAAGTGAATAATTGCTTATTTTGAGCAAAATAATCTGCTAGTGCAGCAAGCAAATGAGA